CCCTCTCCCCCTCGCCCCGGCGCCGGGTCGCCGCCCACGATTCCGGCGAAAGTAGCCGGTGGGATCACGCCGAAAGGACGCCACACGCACGAGGTTGCGCTCCGCCCCCTTCTGCGTCGGCAGGCCAGAAAGTTGCAGATCTGCGGCCCTTCGTCGCGGGCGGTCGGATTTGGCTTTTCCGGCCGCCGGTGGCTGCGCCAAGCGATGAAATGGTCGGGGAGCACCTCGTGCAGCCCCGGCAAAGTCCCATCGCCACATGCAGGTACGGGTTCGTCCCGTCGCTGCCGCCGCCGGTTTGCTGGCATGGATTCGGCCGGCCGTCCATCGGGCTCGGCGCTCGCGCAGAGGCTCCGTGGCTCGCCGATGCCACTCATACAGTGTGACGACTGCACGCGGACAGTGCTGTGGCTAATTTTGGGCATGCCGAAGCACCCCGGATGGGTGTTCTTCAAATGCGAAAACGACGGGGTACGTGGTTTTTTCATTCGGCTTTGGCACTGCATTCTTTGGTTTAATTGTGATAGATCATTTCGAACATCATCATGTGTGTAGGAAGATGGATGCTCGTTTTGGTTTTGGGAAGGCGAATACATTGATTTATTAATAGAAAGAAACTTAATAGACATATGGCAGTGAAGCGGTTGCATGTGCAACTAGAGGGGAAGAAGCGTCTACTTCTTTAGAATCAAAGAAGAAGAATGAAGAATGCAAAATCAAGAATCCACAGATCAATAATGAATGCATGGGGAATATATTGGTCCAACTAGTGGGAGCAGTTATGAAAGTTGGAAATCTTCTAAAATGCATAATTGTGGTGCTTGTTTTCTTTGGTCTTACTATTCTAGTAAAGATTTGGTGATGCCCTATGTATCCAATGTTGTTGAAAAAGTAAAGAAATGCATTATCTTGTGTCAAATTGAGATGCAAATTTAGGATTTGCGGGCCGGCGGTAGACCAGACCCCGCAAAGCCAGCCCGTAAAAGAGCATATTCCGCGAATATCCTTTTATACGGGTCCGTTTTGCAGGGTCTGCCTCTGCGCCCGTCCGCGCCTGCCCGCAAAGTCGTTTTTTCGCGAGCTGCAAACGCGTTTTGCGGGTCGGATTTTTGCGGGGTCTGCTAGAGATGCTCTTAATCGTGTAGAGGTGCCAGATCTAGAGTTTAATGGCGTGTCTGAGGTGTTGCCGCGATCTGACACGTTCAACGGTAATGATTTCATCTTTCGTGAGTCACCTTGGAGGTTCATAAAGCTTATGTGCGATGGAGCCACTTCGAGTTTAGATGTGAAGATGATCCGTTATTTTTTCTTTGGTTGTTGTTGTAGTGGTTTCAGAGGCAGGTGATGGGTGTTAAACTGTTGATGTGAGGACTATGTGTCTTGGATTGTAATTTTACTTCTTAACCGTCGTTCCTTTGTGTAAAAGATATTTGTACGTAACTTGTACTGTGATCTTTAAGATATAAATGAGACGCATATTACCATAAAAAGAAATATGTGCAGAGTTTCAAAAGGTGGAGATGCTTCAGAGGGGCATACGGGCAAAAACTGAAAGACGAGTGGGCAAGAACCAAAAAACACGGAGGAGGATAGAAAAGGAGCGGCGAAAGCGATGGCCACCAACGACCCGACCGAGGGAATCCAAAACCAAATCAAACTCAAACCTCAAACGCCACCGGAGCCAAATAAAACCCGCAAAAGCCACCGCATTCCCATCGAAATTGCAGCAAATCCGAACGAGTCGTCCAATCAAAATTTATAAAACAAACAAGGACTACAGGCGGCCAGAGTGCCCGGCCACCTCGCCCTCGTCGCCGCCTCCTCCAGTCCTCTTGCCGCGGGCGGCCTGCTTCACGCCGCCTCCCCCCGCGCCTCCGCGTCTTCTAGACCCTCCCCGCCCGTCCCCTAATCCCTCCACAGCCGCGCGCGCGTGCGGGCGAACCCTAGAGCCCGCCGCAGCCTCCTCTGCAGCCCCTTCCGTCGCCGGATACAGAGGTAACCACCGCCCCCCGCCGCCGCCACCGCTGAGCTTTTTGGTTGTTTGTCTCGTGGGTTTTTTGGATTCCGCTCTCTGGTACGCGGTTCTGTGGAGTTGCCGCCCCAGTATTTTTTTTATTTTCAGTTTCCCTGTTAAATTTGGTGCCTAGAGCTGTTTGCGCGCGCGTCAGTGGTGGTTGTTTCTGATACTTCAAACTTGCACGCGAGTTCCTTTGGTTTGGTTTGGGCGCGGGGCAAAATCTGCTGCATGATTTATGGGTAAAAACAAATCGTTGAGAAAACTAATGTTTCGCAATTTAACACGCTGTTATTTGGCTGAAGATTTGGGGGAAAGCAGCAGCTCTGCTTAGTACCAGTCACCTTGATTTTACCGTGTTCATGGTTTGTCCAAACCTTAGGCTGTCTGTACTTCTAATGCAGATTGCTGCCGCCACTCTGTCACATAGATAGAAGAACAGTAATTGCACTCCATTAATAGGTTCTGACGAGTGACTTGGACGTGGGTTCTTGATGCTCTGCTACTGCCATGATGTTGTTCTGACCAATTCTGCAACAGGAATGGAGCAGAATGGAGAGAGCCATCTCAAGGAGCCGCTTCTCCATGCGGCCGATGGCGCTTCTGCCGCCGCCGCCAGGGTGTCCCCGCGGAAGGAGAGGACTACAAGGAAGGTCATGTTCAATGTCCGGGGCATGTCATGCGGTTCCTGGGTGGTGGCAGGATTGAAGGGGGTCGAGAGCATCCAGGTCTCAACCCTTCAGGGCCAGGCTGTTGTTCAGTACAGCCCGGAGGAGACCGATGTAAGATTTCCTTGAGCTGATGCTCGTCTTCTCATCACTGTATTTTTTATTTTTTCAATATGGAGGTCCTTAGTACTTACTATGGAAATATCTGCATATTGTCATAAATGGGGTAAAAAGAGGGATGCCAAATACATGTGGTAGCTTCTTTTTGTCCTGTTGTTAATCCAAGTTATCAGTTTTCACTAGGGACATATTTGCACATGTATTTAGTGTAAACGGGAAATGTTTGGTTCCAGGAGATGAATTTTGTCCTACAAATCCTCATTTAGCTGCCAGGTCAACTTTATCTTATCTTTCCCTTGATATTCAGTTTTAAGGCCCACACCTTTGTACCACCAACTATTTTAACTACCTTTTGTTGGTGTGGGCCAATCTCTTGACAGCAACTGCCCAATCATTGGACTGTCAAACATTGTCAGATAGTTTAGTTCATAAATGAATTGCCGAGGAACTATATCATCTCCACGATGAGTATACCTCAATTATATATTCTTAGAGAATTTTGAGCATAAATGAACTGCCAAGGAACAATGTAGCCTTTCTTTCTTCATACTGTGATTTTTACTAGCAATTTTAGTAGATTTATATTTATGAGCATGCACTTTCAGTTCAGTAAACTCGAGTCTGCATTGATGCATTCTCCACAAAGTAATGCCGAAAATGCTGCACCGTTGGTATAATTTGCTATATTTTCTCAGTTAAGATTCTTGTTCTCACAGGCAAGAACCATAAAAGAAGCTATTGAGGATATCAACTTTGAGGTCGATGAACTCCAAGAACAAGAAATTGCCGTATGCAGGCTCCGGATAAAAGGAATGGCATGTACAAGCTGCTCTGAATCTATTGAACGGGCACTTCTGATGGTACCTGGAGTTAAAAAAGCTGCAGTGGGGCTTGCCCTAGAGGAAGCCAAGGTGCACTTTGATCCAAATATTACCAGCCGTGATTTACTAATCGAGGCTATTGAGGATGCTGGATTTGGAGCTGATCTCATTAGTTATGGGGACGATGTGAACAAAATGCATCTAAAACTTGAGGGTGTGAGTTCTCCAGAAGACACCAAACTCATTCAGTCGGTACTGGAAACTGTAGAGGGAGTGAATAATGTTGAATGGGATACATCAGGTCAAACAGTTACAGTTGCATATGACCCTGATGTCACTGGTCCACGATTACTTATTCAGCGCATTCAGGATGCTGCAGAACCCCCTAAATGCTTTAATGCCAGCTTGTACTCACCACCAAAGCAAAGAGAAGTAGAACGCCACCATGAAATTATGAGTTACAGGAACCAATTTCTTTGGAGTTGCCTCTTTTCAGTTCCTGTGTTCCTGTTCGCGATGGTTCTGCCCATGCTCCCTCCTTCTGGAGATTGGCTGTTTTATAAAATCTACAACAACATGACGGTAGGTATGCTACTGCGGTGGTTGCTATGTTCTCCAGTTCAGTTCATTATTGGTTGGAGGTACAGTCTCAACCTGGCAACAACATCTTGATGTTGATTCCTTCTCTTTGAAAAAATGTTAAGCTCTTTTGTTTCAAAAATGCAATTATATAAAGGTATCATGCTGTTTGGGAATGATAGAAGTACTGCAAAAGTTGTCAAACGATGCTGCTTTACAATTTCTTCACTGCAATCTTATGCTACAGCATGTGTCTTACGTATTTCACTTTGTATCGATAATTGTCAGATTTTACGTTGGAGCTTACCATGCACTGAAGCGAGGGTACTCTAACATGGATGTGCTGGTTGCTTTGGGAACAAATGCTGCGTACTTCTATTCTGTGTACATTATTGTGAAGGCACTAACATCAGACACGTTTGAAGGACAAGATCTTTTTGAAACTAGTTCGATGTTGGTATCTTTTATATTGCTGGGAAAATACCTTGAGGTGGTGGCAAAGGGGAAGACATCAGATGCTTTGTCAAAGCTGACAGAACTTGCACCAGAAACAGCTGTACTTCTCACACTGGAAAAGGATGGAAGTGTCATTTCAGAAGTGGAGATCAGTACCCAGTTACTTCAAAGAAACGATTTCATTAAGATTGTCCCTGGTGAAAAGGTCCCAGTTGATGGTGTTGTCATCAAAGGCCAAAGCCATGTTAATGAAAGTATGATAACTGGGGAAGCAAGGCCCATTGCAAAGAAACCGGGAGATAAGGTTGGTATTTTTGGATTCCGATTGCCTTATCTGATGTTATTTATCATGTACTGTCCTGATGCTTCAATCGTCTTTTTTAAAGGTTATTGGTGGTACTGTAAACGATAATGGTTTCATAATTGTTAAGGCCACCCATGTTGGGTCAGAGACGGCTCTGTCACAGATAGTCCAGCTAGTTGAAGCTGCTCAACTTGCAAGAGCTCCAGTACAGCGGTTGGCAGACAAGATTTCACGGTTTTTTGTTCCAACTGTAAGTTATCTGTTATTTTCTCCTTAAATTTGCTCCTGCTATGTTGCTCTGCATCATCTTTTGCATAATCAGAGCATGGTCAGAAATTACCTACCCTTGTGGTTCATAATTGGTTACAGTAGTAGTTTGTCGGTATCAACGTTATGCGAATGTGATGTACATGACCGATATGAGTAGTCAGCCTAGACTCGGCTAGCATTGAGCTGAAGACCTTGTATGTGCTACCGGCTGGCTACCCGGGTTCTATTGTATACTCCTGTTTTGTGAACTTGTCAAGATCAAATTTGTTTATTTGATTTAGTAACTATCTAGTTTAACCTTGTTCTTTACTGAGCTGATTAGTTTTCCAGCAGTAAACAGTAGGTTCATTGTGGGAAATCATACCCTGCTTGATACGTACAAATGTTCTAGTATGATATTTGCTGCCAGGTTATCTCTTGAGAGAAAACCTTTCTCATATTGATTGTTTCTTCTCATTTTAAGGTTGTGGTGGCTGCATTTCTTACATGGCTTGGCTGGTTCATACCCGGGCAACTTCACCTCTACCCTCAGCAATGGATTCCAAAGGCAATGGATAGTTTTGAGCTTGCTCTGCAGTTTGGAATATCTGTCCTAGTCGTTGCATGCCCGTGTGCTCTGGGATTAGCTACCCCAACTGCTGTTATGGTTGCTACTGGAAAAGGTGCTTCTCTAGGTGTTCTTATCAAAGGTGGCAATGCACTTGAGAAAGCTCACAAGGTAATCTTGAGACTTTTTGTGCTAGCTTGTGTGTGTGTGTGTGTGTGTGTGTGTGTGTGTGTGCTCGTGCGATACAGACTCCAGTGTAAGGAGTATGTTTTTCTTCTCCATATAAATTCTACTGTGGTATACTAACACACACTGGACCACCGTTTTGATCTCTCTGTTTGCAGATTAAAACTATCATATTTGATAAAACTGGAACCCTGACTAAGGGTAAACCTTCTGTTGTTCAAACAAAGACCTTCTCCAAGATACCACTTCTAGAATTGTGTGATTTAACTGCCAGTGCTGAGGTTGGTTTGTTAACCACTTGTCATTTTCCGCATTTATGTTGGCAGACACCATATGATACGTTCCTAGTTATTATTATTCTGTTGTTATAAACTTTTTTTCCCTCCTTTTTTGGGTGTCTGGCTCTAATTTTCTCTTTAACTTGAAAAATTGTGACTTTGTCAGGCAAACAGTGAGCATCCTCTATCAAAGGCTATTGTTGAATACACAAAGAAGCTCAGAGAACAATATGGATCTCCGAGTGATCATATGATGGATTCCAAAGATTTTGAGGTGCATCCAGGGGCAGGGGTCAGCGCGAATGTTGAAGGCAAGCTGGTTTTGGTTGGGAACAAACGGCTCATGCAAGAATTTGAAGCTCCAATGAGCTCTGAAGTGGAGGAATACATGTCTGAAATGGAGGATCTTGCCAGGACCTGTGTGCTTGTTGCGATCGATAGGGTTATCTGCGGAGCTCTTGCCGTATCGGATCCTCTGAAGCCTGAGGCAGGACGCGTCATTTCACACCTTAGCTCAATGGGCATCACAAGCATCATGGTGACGGGCGACAACTGGGCTACAGCCAAATCCATAGCAAAGCAAGTCGGGATCAGCACCGTATTTGCTGAGATTGATCCAGTTGGAAAAGCTGAGAAGATCAAGGACTTGCAGGTACGACGGTCTTTTCTCTTTTCGGCAGGGACTATTACCTGGCATTACATTTTGCATTCCTGCTTACTCCATTCCTGCACAGACGCAAGGACTTGCCGTGGCGATGGTCGGCGACGGGGTGAACGACTCGCCGGCCCTGGCCGCAGCGGACGTGGGCATGGCCATCGGCGCGGGCACAGACGTCGCCATCGAGGCCGCTGACATCGTCTTGATGAAGAGCAGCCTAGTGGACGTGATCATGGCAATCGACCTCTCGCGGAAGACCCTCGCCAAGATCCGGCTCAACTACGTCTGGGCCCTGGGCTACAATGTCCTGGGCATGCCGATCGCCGCCGGCGTCCTGTTCCCGTTCACGGGCATCCGGCTCCCCCCGTGGCTCGCCGGGGCCTGCATGGCCGCCTCATCGGTGAGCGTCGTCTGCTCGTCGCTGCTGCTCCAGCTCTACAAGAAGCCGTTGCACGTCGAGGAGGTGCCGATGACGGCAGGGCCCGGCGATGGTGGCTCGAACCTGGTGTGAGGAGCACACACCCGTTCTGGCCTCCGTCTCGCGGTGCTACTGACGAAACTGTTGCTGTCAACGTTGCTCGAACCTGGTGAAACTGTTGCTCGAACCTGGTGTGGGCTGCAGCTATTTGCTGGCATGCACCTTGAACTGACGCCTATTGAAAACGCCCTGTTTGCTGTGGCCCTCCTGATTGATTCGTGTGCATATGTAATTTCACGCAACCCTTTTCCTTTTGTGCGGAATGACTTTTTTTTATAATAATATGGGAGGTTTATCCTTGAAACGGAACTATTCATCAGATTGTTCCATCATTGGCTAACAGACTCTCAAAACGGACATTGTATTTGTCCGCAGACTGGTCCGGACCAATCTGCGGGTGCGGACACTGATGTCGGCAATCCAATCGTACACATATACATTTCAAAACTGATTTGAACAAATTGGACTATGTTTATGCAAACTGGACGATTTCCATTTAAACCGGATTAAATTTATTACATTTTTGACATACTTCAATAAACAAAAGCATTCGGAAGTTAACTGTCTAAATCTTCACCAGTAGCCATGAGCCCTAGAAAGTGTCCGACCTCCAAGTCCTTGTTGTTCTCCTTCGTTGTTCTCCTTCGTGTTCACGTCCGACGGCCGTGAGCCACGGAAGTTTAGTTGCGGTCATCGGCATAGGACATGGGATACAAGGTGTCGCTGTCTCGCATGCCCTGCTCCTTGTCGCAGTCCGCGACCTAGCCGTCGCCAGTGGAGGTGAGGTTGGCGATGAATATGGATGGGCCAGCCTCGTGGCGCCAACGGGACTAGTTGGCGGTGTCGGTGTCAAAACCGGCGGATCTCGGGTAGGGGGTCCCGAACTGTGCGTCTAGGCGGATGGTAACAGGAGACAAGGGACACGATGTTTTTATCCAGGTTCGGGCCCTCTCGATGGAGGTAAAACCCTACTCCTGCTTGATTAATATTGATGATATGGGTAGTACAAGAGTAGATCTACCACGAGATCAAGAAGGCTAAACCCTAGAAGCTAGCCTATGGTATGATTGTTATTGTTCCTACGGACTAAACCCTTCGGTTCATATAGACACCGGAGGGGGCTAGGGTTACACAGAGTCGGTTACAATGGTAGGAGATCTACATATCCGTATCGCCAACCTTGCCTTCCACGCCAAGGAAAGTCCCTTCCGGAAACGAGACGAAGTCTTCAATCTTGTATCTTCATAGTCCAGGAGTCCGGCTGAAGGTATAGTCCGGCTATCCGGACACCCCCTAATCCAGGACTCTCTCAGTAGCCCCTGAACCAGGCTTCAATGACGACGAGTCCGGCGCGCAGATTGTCTTGTCTTCGGCATTGCAAGGCGGGTTCCTCCTCCAAGTACTTCGTAGAAGATTTCGAACACAAGGATAGTGTCCGGCTTTGCAAAATAAATTTCCACATATTGCCATAGAGAGAATAATATTTACACAAATCTAATCTGCTGATGTATTCCGTAGCGTGACATCACACCACGGCCAAGCCTTTATACGAATCGTTTTTATTGTCCCGCCTCAGCGCGTTTAGCGAGGCGGTTTCCTTGACACGTCCTTTCAAAACAGAGATCGTGTTCCCTTTATTTACGGGATTCTCATCAATACGGACGTGGGTAACCCAGTCGTGCCTGTTGGTATGTTTTCTCGATCAAAGGCGAGTCCCAAACGGTCACGGGGAGGGCCCTTGGTATTCAACCTCTTATAAAGAGACCAAGGCCTTACTCCTTTCTTTCAATCTCAAACGAGTTCGCTCTTCGCCTCGAGTTCCAATACCCAAGGCTCCAGATTTCAGGCGCTTCGGATCTTCGACAATGTCCGGTTCCGACCTTCGAGGCCGATGGATGCCCTCCTCCGTCACGGAGGAGGACGTGCTAAAGTTGAGAGAGGCCAGGTTTTTGGCCGGCGAAATTTCGCATAGGCTGCCCGCTCAAGGGCAGGTCATTCCCACTCCCAAGCCTGGTGAGAGTGTGGTGTTCATGTCTCACTTCCTTCGGGGGCTAGGCTTCCCGACGGATCCCTTCGTGAGGGGGCTCATGTTCTATTATGGGCTGGAATTTCACGACTTAGCTCCGGAGTCCATCCTCCATATTTCCTCATTCATCGTCGTGTGTGAAGCCTTCCTCCGTATTACTCTCCACTTCGGACTATGGCTCAAGACCTTCAAAGTAGAACCGAAGATGATCGAGGGACGACACGCGGAGTGCAGAGGTGCTATTATAAGCAAAAATGTTGATGCTCCATGGCCCGAGGGCTCTTTTCAAGAGGAGCTCGGCTTATGGCAACGAGAGTGGTTCTATATCACCGCTCCCAGGGGCACCAAGTGGGTGGCGCCACCTGCCTTTCGCTCGGGTCCCCCAGCACAGCTAGCGTCGTGGGTCAATAAAGGCCTAGACTGGGGGCCATCCAAGGACGTGCCCTTGTTGCAGGGCCGCATCAGGGATCTCTTAGAAAGAGACCTCAGCCTGGTCAAAGTGACGCAGGTCATGCTGATTGGCCGAACCCTGCCCGGCAAACGTCGCTCCCTTCGCTTGTGGGAATTCAATTCGAAGGGACCGCGGGCTCTCCAACATTTTATGGGCGCGACGCCCGTGGAGATGTATGAATTGTTCTTCGGATCACACGCAATGTGTCCGGACTTGACCGAGGACGCAGGTCTGAGCTGCAACCGACCGGATACTCAAGTAAGTAGCCTTCTGCCCGGACTCGCCATCCGTGTATTTGTCATAAACTTGCCCCTAAAAGAGCTGTCCTTTAAACAGGAGTGGATAGCGAAAGCAAAGCTGATCAGGTGTCCGGCTCCCCTCCCCGAGACCACGCCGGATCCCGTGCTAGTCAGGATGTTGAAGATTGTGCCTTTGAAGGAAAGCAAGGGAGGGGACAAGGAAACTATGGCCTCCTCGAAGGAGGCTGTTCGGAAGGGAGGAATCGAAAGTTCCTCTCCTCCGGGGAAGAAGAGGACCGCCTCTGAAGGCCCGGAGACCATGGCCTCAAAGCGGGGGAAGAAATCCTCGTCAGAGGGTCCTACGCCGGGGGATACCTCGGCCGAATTATGCCCTCAAGGGGATCAGCCCTCCATCGAGCCGTAAGTAGAGAGAAGTTTTTCTTTGAGAGGAATCCTTGCTTTGTATCTGAGAAGAGTAACTGAAATTTTACCTTGTAGTTCGGACCTCAGCCCTTCTCAGCAGAGCTCGTCTTCGGGGGATCTTCTTCCGGAGATGATGGAGAGCGGAACGCCTCCCCCTGCCTTACCGCCTCGCGAGGCGGGCGACCCTGAGGTATCGTCGCGGAGGGTTTCTTCGAATCTGGCAGGGCCGGAAGGTAGCCATATGGCCCCCAAGGCTCTCCGCATCCGGCCTTCGAAAAAGGCCATAGGACGAGTCCGGCACCGTTCGGTGCGCGGTCGGAGGAGCTGAAGGATCTGCTAGGGCGAGCATCTATCTCAGAGGAGCACCGTGTTGATGGGCACGATGATTGAAAGGATTTCGGCCGCGGAAAGCGGATTGCACGAGGCCGTCAGAAGTTTACTGACAGGTTTTGAGGTACGCGAAATAATACACCCTTTTTGACAGTTGCGCATGAATAAGATGCGCCCTGTGTAGATAGTAGCCCCTGAGACTCTGTGCGTTGTCAAAAGTGACGGCGTGCAGAGGATCATAATCTCAGGTCTAATATGCCACCTTCATACGTAGGTGGCAAAGTGTCCGGTGGCTAGCCGGACTGATGAATTTGCCGAGCTAAAGCGGCAACTTGACGTGGCAGATGCCGACATTACGCTTATCAACAAGCGGCTTGACAAGGCACAAGGTATGTAATTCCTCTGGCGGCACCTAGTAAGAGGAGCTTTATGCCAGTATCTTACAATGTGTGTGCTTAACGCAGATGGTGCCGCTGCCATGGAGAATCTTTGGGCGGAACTTGCCCGAGCCAAGGAGCAAGCCAGGAAAAGTGATGCGGCTACCGGAAAGGCAATTGAAGAGCTGAAAGCCGAACAGGCTGCTCACTGCCGAAGCAAGAAGGAAATGGCCGAGATGGCCGTGAAGCTAAAGAGCGCTGCTGACCGTTGCAAGCTTCTTGAAAAAGAAGACCGGGCGGAACAAACGGACCTGGAGAAGGCCGTTGCAGATGCCAAGGATGCTCGCTCTATGATGAGAGCTATGAAGGAGGAGCTACGTCAGGCCGGAGAGATCACGGCTGGAAAGCCCTTTATGCTGCGGAGGAAGTTTTGTGATCCTAAACATGCTCCGTTAGACCGGTTGTGGAGTACGGCGGACACCTATCTGGATTTGGCAGCGAGTGCTGCTGATGCGACCGAACACTTTCGAGATCAAGAAGATCGTGAAGTGGAGAAGCTCTTCTGGTCGCAGTTCCACAATCCAGAGCGTCCACTGTCGGTAGCCGATCGTCTGGCCGAATGGCCCGAGCTGAATAGGTTGTCCGGACTCGCCATGAAGTCTGTTATGAGTCATCTGTGGCCGAAGAGACCAGAGCCGAAAAGTTATTTCAACTTGGTGCAGCAGTTCCTTGGAGCGGTGTCGCATATTAATGCGATGAAGAGGTCAGCGTGCATAGAGGGTGCACAGATGGCTCTTGTCCGTGTCAAGACATACTGGGCGGAGATGGAGACCACCGCTGTTGCATCCCGAGATTCGGACGAAAGCCGAGTACCTGCCAAGCACTATTTTCAGGAAGTTCTGCAAGGCGCTCGTGTAATAGAGACGCAGTGCTCGAAGGATGCTATGTTCGAATAGCATATGTTATTGTAAAACAATATTTTGATAAATTGTAGAAGCTTTTTATACTTGTGCCTGCAAGTATTATAACACCTCCTGTGCGGCCGTTTAAGATATATGTATATATAATCTAAAAGATGGTAGTCGTCGGCTTTAGCCCCCACGCAAATAATGCGGGGGTGTTCGCAGGAGGCGCATTTTCATACTTGATCCAACGTCTTGGTCCTACAAAGGAGGTGATAGCGCAGC